TGGCTATTCATCAACGCCCACTGTAGTATTTTATAAAACAATCAATGAGCATAGGTTAAGCGTTTCCTTGTTCTGCGGTCAATTAGAGTAAATTAATTGAACCTGGGGGAGGAGCTATGGCGTCTTGGTTTACAGAGTACCAGTCAGAAAGGGTGGTGACAACTGCTGACTTGCAACTGGCATCTGGAGATGGGAGCAGCAGTCTGTGGACCGAGTCCGACCCAGGGGTGCGATGCTATTTCCAGGTAGGTTCCTCAGACTGCATTGTTCTTTCTGCCCTTCTGTTGCTAATTAAGCCAGGGAGAGCTGTGACTGACTTAAACATTTGTATCAACTCTTGCCTGGCGTCTGCAGCACTCCAAACTTTCACTCGTTCCTCTGATTGTCACTGGCTCACCGTCTTTTCTGCCCTCCTGTATATTATGGGCTGCACCTTGCCACCCGCAAACCTTCTAATCTCCATTACCTCAGAAAGTGACTGTACTGAAAATCAGTTTGTAAAGATGGAATTAAGGTCAAACGAGGTCACATGGGTGAATCAGAATCCCAAGCACCTGGCGTCTTTGTGCTAGTAGAGTTAAGCAGAGGGAAAAACCATGTGTAGACACTTGAAACAAACCATTTATGAGCCAAGAGGACAGGTCAGCCTCATTTTTAAAGGGCGCGTACTGTTCATTATATGGATGTTGCTTAGTCTAGTCAACAACGGAACACATCCTCAAGCACTCTTGGAAGAGGAGCTGGTCAAGGCTTTCATAGTCCACTCTAGAAATGTGCTGCCAGTTTACACTCTCAGCGGAGTCAGAAGCTGTGTTCTCTGAACTGTCATCAGTACTGTCACGTGTTAACATCTAAGGACTAAGCCTGAGACGGGCTTACTGCTAACCTTCTGTACATGATACTCGGAAGTCCAGTCATTTCTAAACTCAGTCAGCCTCAGTGAGAATTTCTGCTTTATGCACAAATTGATTGGGATTTGATCTGCTATAGTATGCCATGTCATCTACCTCGCTCACTTTCCTTTATGCAGTAATCCTACAGGTTTCCTGCAAATGGCGGGATCTCTCTTCATGACCAAGGTCTGGAAAGTCCAGATATCTGATCAGCAGTGCTATTTTTTCCTAACTTGATTTTACACATTTTGCAATTACTCCTATAGAAGATAATATTAGAGGATAAACATGAAGGGAGATATCTGAGGGAGGGTGGCCAGAGACAATGTAGCCCAGGATGACTCTTCCATAGTCTAGGTTACCCTCAAACACATGGTAGTCCCTTTGACTCGGCTTCCCAGTGTTGGGATTAGAGGCATGTGGTTCAATGTCTAACTCTAAATACTGGTTTTGATAATTAAACAAAACAAAACAAAAAAACACAATCAATTTTCTCTCAGATCAAAAATTGAAAGTAATAATGCAGATACTATGTTCTGCCCACAAAGTCCTGAAGGGTCTCAGTTACTACCAGTTTAAGGTTGTCCCAATTCCTGTATGTATACATTAAACTGGCAGGCAGAGCACTAAACACGGAGAGGAGAAGAGGTCTGAGAGGCACTTGTTTTTATTCTAAGGGTTGTTCTGGAAGAGTATTGCATGACGACAAGGCTCAGAGATAGAGAGATTGTAATTAACTGGTCATCAGTGCTATCATGTGGCTCTGAAGTAGGCTAGAAACAGTCTTTACTCCAGATAGCCAGGAGCCCACATTTACTCCTCGGAAAGAGAGGAATTTTGGAGGGAGGAGTAACTAACTAACAGTCTGTGATAGACTGCAGAGCGTGTGGAACGTGGCAGAAAGGAGGCAAGAAGGATGAACACAGAGTACAGGAAGAGGCAGAGCTAGATTATGTCAGCTTGACCGGCCATTTGGGCTTATTCCATATAAAACCACCAAGGAACATAACTGAATAAAACATTCAAATGATGCTTCTGGCTGATACACAGGAACAGTTGACAGGAGTGTTGGGGAACATACAGTGTAGGGATTGCTACATTCTAGAGAGGGAAGATGGTAGCTCAGAGGGCTAGGAGAGGGCTGCTGAGAAGGGGCGGGGTTCCGAACATCTGTTGAGAGATCCTGGTATGGGAAGGTAAGATGGAAGAGAAGTTACAGAGGCTTTCTAACTCTACGCCTAAGTCCATAAACAGGGTTACTGTTGACGGAACAGGGAGGGTGAGGGAGGTCAATCATTCTTTTTCAGGCTGTTAAATTTGAGATGCTTGTCCCTTTTATTCCTTGTCATGGCAAACATGCTAGCTAGTATTTGATCCACTTTTTTTTTTTTTTTTTTTGGTTTGGTTTTTAAGGGAGACCTTTCCTTCTGCAAATATATACAAATTCATTTTTAAAATTTTTTTCATTTTTTTCTTTAATAAAGCATTTCTCCCTCAATCCAATTGAGAATTTTTTTTGTGAGGTGCACAAAAAACTTTAACGTATTTCAAAAACACATAAATATGCTGATCAGTATGAACTATTTTCAAGCAAAAGTGACAAAATTATTATTATTACTATTTTGGTTTTTCGAGACAGGGTTTCTCTGTGTAGTCCTGGCTGTCCTGGAACTCACTCTGTAGACCAGGCTGGCCTCGAACTCAGAAATCTGCCTGCCTCTGCCTCCCGAGTGCTGGGATTAAAGGTGTGTGGCACCACTGCCCGGCAAGTAACAAAATTATTAAATCTGTTCAATACCAAAAATATTAAATAAGTAAATTGGTTAAATATGATCATTATCAACAGTTGTTATCAAGCTGTTTCATTGGAGACAGATCTTATCAACATGTTGTCCAGGCTAGCCTCAACCTTTGGTTGACTCTCATGCCTCAGTCTCCACAGTAACAGGGTTACAACAAACGTCACCATGTCTGAAGATGAAGTCGTTTTGTTTCAACAAGGTCTCTCTCTATAACTAGCCCCACCTCATCTGCACCTAGCTATGCAGACCAGGCTAACCCGAAACTCAGATTGGCCTGTCTCTGCTTCCCATGTGCTAGACATAAAGACCTGTGAAACTATGTCCTGAAAAGAAGTTCCGGATGCAACAGGACAAATTGAGATCTGTATTGGTGCACACCTCACCATGTTGAACCATCAGCAAGCCCTCAGCAAATGCTATATCATTCAATGCATCTTTTCCTAGCATCCCCGTTCCACACGTTAAGAAAATGTTCTCGTCTCACCTAGTAAAACCCAAGCATAGTAAGCCTCTCAGACCCTCCCCACTGAAAGCAATTTTAAAGACTCTGACAAAGATGTGTTTTTAAGTTAATATAGGTAAGAAGAGTAATGAATTGGAATATTTAATGCTACTTAATATGATAATGCCACTATATACGCATTAAGGGTTCCAAATAATTAGTAGCCAGATTAAGGGGCTCTGTATTACATGCGTTCATACACATGAACTGCATACACCTAGAGGTACGTCCAGTCTTTGAACACACTACCTTATGGCAGGAGATGTTAACTTGAGAGGAAGAGAAAGCAGAAGAGACAGGAAGGCACTGTTGGGGAGGGGCCATATGAGACTGTGTTGTTCCTTCTTGAATTTCCCTTAAGTAAAAAAACAACAAAACACAAAACAGTGAAATGGAGTATTTAATGAAATGAACCTCCTAGCAAAATATACCCTTTTTCTACTGGCTAGACCAGTTCCTGTTGGCAATTAAGCAAATTTACATATCTGCTGATATGCATAAATACCTTTTTTTTTTTGTTGTAGTTGTTTTCTGAGAGAGGGTTTCTCTGTGTAGCCCTGGCTGCCCTGGAACTCACTCTGTAGACCAGGGTGGCCTCGAACTCAGAAATCCACCTGCCTCTGCCTCCCAAGTGCTGGATTAAAGGCGTGCGCCACCACTGCCCGGCTGCATAAATACCTTCAAAACCAAGACAATGGTACTTTTTATTTCACCGTAGGCTTTTATCTCCTATTTCTTGCCTTTAGTTTTCTATGATAAACCAAAGCAACAAATATTGATTGGGGGTCCGGAAGGAGGTAATTTTATAAAACAAACATCAGAAACTTTACTTCCAATTAGTAGTAATCCACATTAATAGGTTCTACCACTCAAAAACCAGGAATAGCAAATACGTTATGAAACTAGTAACTTCAAACCACACAGAGGCTTTTTAGCAAGTCTAGTAACCGTAAAACATGAAGTTTATGGATGTTCAAAGGAGTAAAGAAAGAGCATTACAGCAATGAAAACTAATTTCATTTTCAGGGACTGTCCTGTTTTGAAGAGCAAAATCCTGAAGTTCCCAACCACAGCCATCGTATTTTCAAGAGGTCCAGTGGATGAGCCAGCTGGTCACTAGGGTTTACAAAGGGCGCGCCGGGCGGGAACTAAATAAAGTGCCATAAACATCGTTCGGTTAGCTTAAGCACACCCGGTAGTGTTTTAAAAACATGCTTCCCCCTTACTTCCTCTCACCAGGTTTAGACCGGGAGAAAAAAAAAAAAAGCATGAAAAGGAAGGGGGGGGCGGCGATCAGACGTCCAGGTTTCAGCAGAGGGGAACTCACTGCTCAGGAGGTGCCGGCGGCGTGCGGCGGGTGTTTGGGGGTGCGCACCCGGGTAGCGCAGGCTGCGGGACGGCGGGAGGACCTGAGCACCGCAGTCACCGCGGCCGCAGGTAGTTCACAGCCCGGGGACGGAGTGCAGGAGGTGCTCGGGGGCGGGGTGTCCGACGAAAACACAAACACAAACACGCTGCGCGTCCCCAGGTGGGCGGACCCACGCTGCCTCTGCATTTTCCCCGCCCCCGCGGCCGCGCTCGGACCCCGGGCCGCAGCTCCCGGCGTGGCAGTCTTGGCTTAGGAAGCCCGGCCAGGCCGCGGAGGCCCGGCTCTCCGTAACCGCCACAAGGCAGCGCCGCACCTCCGCGGGAGGCGGCGGGACGCGCGGCGGAAGCCCAGGAAGGCTCCCGGGTTGGGGGGTTGGGGGGGGGGAGAGCGCCACGCTTCTCACCGTCGACCGGCGTGCGGGAAGCACTCTGTCCATTCGGCGAGCATCGCTCGCCACCTTCTGCCGCCGCCTTAGAGCGAAGTCGGAGCGACGGGGGTCACGGCGGGGGTCAGAGGGTAAAGGTCTTGCTCCCAGCAGCCTCCGCGGTGGATACGTCGCCATCTTGGATCCGCGGGACAAGAAAATTCATGCGGTGAGTTTTTGGCAAATTTTCGGAAGTCTGGCAGCGGGGCGCGCGGCGGGGGAGGCGGATTGAGGGCCCCTTCAAGGCGGGGGAATGCCTCGGGGCTGGTCCGGTCGCGCCCGGGGTCCGCGGGTAGCGTCCCGGCCCGCCGCTTCCCGTTGCTTTTGTCTCGGCTCCAATCGAGAGAGGGAGAGCGGAGCGGGCGGGGAGGGGGGTGGCGGCGCTGGAGGAGGGAGGGGGTGTGTGGCGGGGTGGACAAGACGTAAAGCGTCGCCGTGCTCGGGCCGCCGCCGCCGCCGCTGCCGCAGCAGCAGCAGCTCCGGAGCCTAGGCCCGGTCCCGGCTGCCCCCGGCGGGGCTTTCCCCGCACTCCGCTTCCCCGGCTCCCGCCGGCGCGGAGCAGCCTCTGCCGCCGAGCTGCTTCCTGGGGTAGGAGAGAAGGCGGCAGCGGCAGCATCCGAGGAGTCCCGGCCGCTTTAGGCGGCTCTGCCACGTTCCCAGCAGCTGCTGGTCCTTGAATCTTTACATTCTGGCAATACACGCGCATCCTCCGCCACTTGTGTGTTTTTGTTTGTGTAAGATGGGTACATCGCACTGGCTAACGGGCCTCAGGAGCCTCCAGGCCCTGAGATACCGAAGGGCCTTGCAAGGTGGAGGGAGGAAAGCAACTAAGATGCTGCTTCTGCCACCGTACCCGGAGAGGGAAGCTTTTCTAGTGGTGTAGACTTGAGTTCGGATGGTCCTGGGCCGGCTGAGGAGGAACCGGAGACACTCTGTGAAGTTGCAAGTCCTGGTTTCTACTTCCGCCGGGCCCTCTCCTACCTTTTGCTGTTTTAGGTCTTCACTTCAAAGTTTCATAGAAGACATAAGTTGGGTTAAAAGAAACCCGGTAGTTCTTAATTGAGGTACTGTTTGCTCGGGAGGAAGCTTATATATAATTCTTGTTATCTGTAGGCCCTCAGGGAAATCTAATTGAAACTTTCTTTTTGTAAAATCATTTCTAAGGTTTTGTTATTTGCATTTACTTTAGACCCCCATTAGTACGTTATTACTTCCAAAAAATTTCCTTACACATGGGTACCAATTTCTTGGAAATCCTAGGGGACATTTCCACTTTTCAACATCTGGAAAAACAAGTATTAAGAGTGTTTTGCCTCACTTTCATTAAATCTTGAGTCAAAGATTTCTCTTTAATCATCTGGACAGTTCCTAATAAAATACAGCAATATGATCCTTAGATTCTTGGCAAATGGTAGAAAGTATGATACTGAGTTAACCAAATCTGTTCACAAGGGAGACATTTTTTATTATTTTCCATAGTGAGAAATTTTAGGGAGAGAGATAGAATCATGTTCCTATAGATTTCCCTTCCCAGACAAATAAGTGGGGCTAATTTATATGGAGAGAGTGGGATAGAAATTTAAACTTTCACAACAGTTTGTTTGGTTATGCTTGCTATATTCAACAACAATTCCTTCTCAAGTCACCTTTGTAGTTTTCTGAGGTATTTTTATTCCAAGTTGGAAGTGTTTAAAAATCCAGTACACTGAAGTGACTGTCTACATTCACATATTTGTCTATGTTCAGGTTTTGCGTCTTTGCTACATTTTCTTAATGGTCCAAGATCATTAATAAGGACCCTTGTGCTCTCCTATCTAGTCTGTTGTTATCTTAAAGCTAAAGGAAAAAGTTCAAAATACACAATTTCTTGCACTTTTCATTTTTGCTGACTTTGCAAGATTCTTAATTTTAAAGTGGAACCTTTTCATTTTTTTTAAAAAGTGACTTTCTGTAACTAGTTTTTAACTCTAGACAAGAAATAAAACCTGTATTTTTTACTTTTTTTTGCATTCCTGTTAATGCTTTATTAATACATAGAAGTTAAGGTAGTGCATGTGTTGGCAGAGCAGTTTGGTTCTAACAGTCTAGAGATACCTGTAACCTTACCAGATGCTAGAGGCTGAAGAGTCATCTGCATATTAACATATCATCTAAAGTGCTTAAAAATAAATTTGTTTGGTGGAAAAATGAAGCAGATTGATGCCTGTGAGTGGTTTTTATCCTAGCCATTTGAGAACTATTTGATTTGAAAATGAAATCAAACTCCAAATGGTATGTTCCCAAAAAGAATAATTACCTTTATTTTCCATATATAAAGGTGGGTGCTTTTTGGTTTTTCAGAGATGCCTTAGGTTTATTTAAAACTTCGAAAATAAACATTTTGTACTGCGGGTAAGTTAGAAATACTAGTAGCGATGTTGTGCTTGTTTCCTAAGTAGCTGCTAATATTAGCAAAGCTTAAACTTTAATGGATCATTATAGAATCTTTTTTTTTTAACACTCCATGGGATAGTATAGTTTTTTTAATGAACAAATTTGCTTGATAAGAAATTTTGATTTTTGTATGTAAATAGAGTATAAGGAGATAGTAATAAACCAGTAAAAATAACCGTACAATTTTGTGATCTTTTGAAGTGATATTAAGTAGTAGTATCTTGGTTAAAATTTTAACTGTCAAATGAGTGACATAGCTGACTGGATAAAGGCATTTGTCACCAAGTCTGATGACTAAAATTTGATCTGAGAGACCCACATGGTGGAACAAGAAAATCAACTCCCCTAAATTGTTCTTACAAATAAATAGCCACATAAAATAAAAAAATGTAAAAATGTATGGTAGAGTTCAGTTTGGCATCACACATTTCAAAGCAGGCTGTAGATCCGTATGTTTGAGCAGACATTGGAGGGAACGCTCATGTGATAGTTTTAGGAAGAGTCTCTTAAGTATGATTTTCTTTAGTGGTGTTTTTAAGAATTATGTGTAAATTATGTGTAGGTGTGTGCTCACATGTGGATAATGTGTATGTGAGTATCTTCTGAGGGGTCAGCGGCTCTGAGGCTGGAGTTGTAAGCCACCAGGTGTGGAGGCTGGTGGAGACTAGGAGCTGAACTCAGGTCCCCTGGAAGAGCAGCAAGTGCTCCTAACTGCTGAGCCATCTCTCCAGCCCCTCTAGTAGATTTTGTAACACAAAACACTGTAAGTCAAGGTACCAGAGGTTGGGCAGTTTTAGAGGCAGAGCTAATCAGAGTTGATTTGCATAGAGTGATGGATCAAAGATCTGGTGCTATGATAGAAGTAGCTCTTGTTGGTCAGGTGACCATTCTTCCTGACCAAGAATGATTTCTGCCTTTGATATGTGAAGGGGTTGGATTTCATTGTAACACTTTCAGTATGGGGAAAAGGCTGTGTCCGGTTGGTATCTATTGTAAAATTTACACTTAAGGAACTATAAGGAATATTTGGGTTTAAGGTTCTAAAAGTTATTTAAAAACCTTTAGCTTGCATCAGTTTATTTAAACTCTTTAAGTAGTATTACTATGTTTTTCTTGCTTCTGTAGTTATTCTGTGTGGTGTCCTTTGATTTCTACTTAAAATTTTTCAGTTCTTAGGACAAATCATGCTGATATAGCTTATTCATCAGTGTCATCAAGGATGTTCTAGAAATAGAATTCTTACTATGTTTTCTGACAGTTTTTTCCTAAAATGAAGCTGCAGATAGTTGGTATATAACTTCAGGGAGGGATGCTGCATTGTGAAACGATAACGTGGTCCACATTGTCTGGCCTTTGGGATGGGTGCATGGCCTATACATCATGCAAATGAAAAAACTGAAGCGTGTAGAAAAAATACAAAGCTTTCCTTTGCTGGACACATTTTTATATGTGATCAAACCCAGGGTCTGAGTCCATTAGATTGGGTTAACTGCTTTGAACGCATTTGCTCCTTAACTCCAAACGTCTGTCTTTCCCGTCAGAAGCCTGTGTTTGCATGCGTGGCTCTGGGTGTTTGAGTTAAGTATCACTTCGTTCTGTTACTTGGTAAACTTACTCAGAACTGGACTGTGTCAGTTTCTTCATGAAATCCTTCCTGACTCCCCCAGTCTGTCTGATCATTACTGAGTGTGTCGCCATGGACTTAATTTACATTTTATCTTTCCTCCCCCATGGCCTCTACAGGTCTGAGCAGGAGCAAGAGCGGACTCTTGTCTTGGGTACACTTACATACTTCTCTGTAATGTATACTAGATTCTCAAGAAATATGCTTCAAGCCAGGACTACACAGAGAAACCCTGTCTCGAAAAACCAAAAAGAAAAAAGAAATATGCTTCAAGCAAAACAGTTGCTGGCTTAATTTTTTCCTTTTTTTTTTTTTTTTTTTTTCCGCACTTAAAGATTTATTTATTTTATTTATGAGTACACTGTAGCTGTCTTCAGACACACCAGAAGAGGGCATCGAATCTCATTACGGATGGTTGTGAGCCACCATGTGGTTGCTGGGATTTGAACTCAGGACCTCTGGAAGAGCAGTCAGTGCTCTTAACCGCTGAGCCATCTCTCCAGCCCCCTTAGTTGTTTCTTGAATATCTTTTTAGAGTTTTGCTTTTTAATTCTTAACTTACTGCTTTACTTTTTGGAAACAGGTAACCAGCTTTTTGAGAACTGTCTGTAGAGTCTGTGTGAAGCCTTGAGAAGAATATTAGTAATACAGTGTTAATATTGTTTTGTTTTTGAATGGGGTATTTGAATCTGTATTTCTAGCTGTGCTTTGCATGGCCATAGGCATTAGTGGAAGGCAACTTGCAGTACTTAGAAGGTAATTGTATTTACAATACTTAGCCATGACTTACTAAATTGAAGCTATTTGATATTAGATTCTTTTTTGTTTAATTTTCTTCTACCTACAGAGGTGGAATTTTCTAGTCTTTGCTTTGTTTTTGACATGCTGAGAATCAAACCCAGGACCTTGGCAGGTACTGGGCAAGTGTTCTGTTTCTGAGCTATATTGATCATATAATCGTCTGTCTTGAATATCATAGTTCTTAGGAAGTTAGGTGAGATGCTTTAATATATCTTAAAATCTGGTTTTTAAATATATCTGGCACATTTCAGCTAGAATTGTTCTCTTGACCAAACAACATCTCACTTGAATTTTCTTATACTTGGATGTTA